TCACTAGTATATGCCCCAAATAATTGGAAAGATTTGTTTGTAGCCATAAGAAAAGGTTAGTTCACTCATGCCCCTCAAACTTCATACTTAAAAGACTGTGTTGTTAGCATCTTTGTTTGCTCCAAGAAGGTTTTATGTTTTCCTTCTTTATGTTGCAACTTGCCAAGGACAATCGTGTACTTAAAAGAAGTACAGAGAATATCAATATCAACAGAAAGATTTTTGCCTGCCCAACTTACGTTACTTGCTGAATAGTCACAGTCAAATAGAAAGGCAAGTTGAGAACTTGAGATTAGTATTTTTTTTTATGACAGTGGCCTTTGGGCTGGTACTGCTACATCTCACCAGCATTATGTATTGCATAAATCTGGCGACCAAGGCTTTGGGCAGACTAGAAAAACTCATCTATTATCTTTCGACTCCACTAAGATTTGACAACTAGTCTACACTCTTGGGAGACACCAAATTAAGGATAGGCTAACTAAAGTATATTGAAGAAGACGCTAGTTAGGGGAGAGCACATGACCAACTTTACTTAGAAGAATTAGTCAGTGTCCTCAAAAGGAGTAGGACTTATTAGAAGTTCAAAATTCACCTTTTATACTAAAATGTGAACAAGTATCATAAGTTCGAACAAATTAACCATTGATGCAATTAACAAAACAAATTCAGTTAATCAAATACCTTATCTCTATACTCTCGAATAAATTGTTCGGGCTTCTTAATAACAAAACTATCAGATTTGAGCTTTCTGACTTTCTGTTCCAGCTGGAGTTTTCTTCTGATTGCCCATTCTTCATTGTTCTTCCTCTTCTTCAGAATCACTTCTGGTATATAATTTAGAGGCTGTGGCACCTCATCCGCCATAATCAGCAACACTACGTCTGAGAGAAGCAATAAGCGAAGTTAGAAACCATGCTGCGCTTTCAAATCCCACTACAGTCTTCCTCTATCACATAATTTTACCAACAAAAAATGCATTTTTTATGTAGACATGAACTCAATACTACAAAAGTACACACCGTCCAATCTGTAAAGTCATTATACATGGGGAGCACATTAGTCTACAGATTAACAGTATAATTTCCGGTTTAACATTAAAATTCCAGGAAAATAGTTAAGGTTTTGATCTCATTAAAGAGTTTAAAATTTGGGGAGAGAGAGATATATGCACAGAGAAAGTGATCAATAGAGAATGAAGCTTACATATCAATTACGCCGGCGAAAGTGACGGCGAGGATTTCACCGGGAATATTCAGAGGGAAGAGGTTGAACTGACGAAGGTTTTAATAGGGTTTCGGTTTTCAATTTGGGTTACTGAAACAAATTTGTATTATTATTATTGGGCTTTTGGAAATTGGAAGACGAGTCCATAAGGTCAAACTATTCCATCTAGATAGATATGGACAAATTGTTTCACGGGCAGCCCATTTAGATACCTCTATTTTAATTGTATCAATTTTGAACACGTGGTGTTTGACGTTAAGTTTGATAAAAATAAACAGCAATTTTAAAGCAAAAATGGTTGAATTTCAATCATTTTTATTCAAACATCATCTATATGTGCTTGAATTTTGAATAGAATTTAGAAATGGTTAAAAGCAAGTAAACATGTCTGAACTAAAGATATATGTGACTAAAGTTCGACTAAAAACATAGTTGGAGTTAGACAAATATATATATACGCATGAACTTTAGTCATTGAAGTCAACTCAAACCCTCAAATATAAAGTTAGGCTTAAAAACATACCAAATGTTTGATTTGAACTAAAAACTCAATGTTTTTTAAGTTTATCATTTGGCAAAGCTTCATTTCGAACCTGAAATTTGAAACTTTAAACTTAAGGTTAGATAGTTAAGTCAATTCTAAAATGGTTAACCTTTTTTTCTATCATTCTTGACCATTCTTTAATTTTAATAAGGATCTTGAAATGAGTTACTTGTGCAATCTCCCGCAACCTACGCCACATGATTATGAAATGGTAAGATTGCATTTTTTTCCCTTCAAATAGACTGTTTTCTATGTTTTGCTAAAAAGTTGTTTGTTATTAAAATCATATATTAAAGACCAACTCAAAGTAGGGTAAAAAAGTGAGGCAACTTTCACATATAACAAACAAAAAATTCATATTTGTATGCTATAGCAAAGTTTGCATAATTGCGCTCCATAGCAAACATAAAATTGTATAATTCGCTACACATATACAATTGTATAATTCGCTGGCCTAAATTGTATAATTCGTTGGTCTATTTCGCTGCAATTGTATAATTTGTTTTGCATACAGTTGAATCGAATTAAAATGTATGTATATTGCATAATTATAAGTGTATAGCAAGAAGATATATGTTTTTCTCGCTTTATACAAAAACAGAAATACAATATATATACACTTCTGTTGTATAAAGCTAGAGAAAATTGTATTTCACTGCAATTGTATAATTCGCAATTGTATAATTCGTTGGCCTTTTTCTCTGCAATATTTGAAGTAAAATGTTTGTAAATTGTATAATTAAGCGTGTAATACGAAGATATATTTTTGCATGTGTATATACAATTTTCTCTCGCTTTATACAAAACAGAAACAGAATTATACACTTCTGTGTATAAAGCGAGAGAGGCGAGCGAGAATGGAGAGTGGAGAGCGAGATTTTTGGGAGAGAGACGCTGGCAAATTTTAGATAACGTTTTCTATGGTGCACAATTAAATCAAACCCTAGCTATTCCATTTATTTTAGGTTATTAGTTTGCTATTATATATATTTTTCCCAAAAAAGTGTGACGGTGAAATTGGTATGAACCTATTGGGCCGAACACCAGAGGCCCAAATATTTTTTATATTTATTTGCAAAGTAGCTAACCAAGGCGCTAACTATTTGTTCATGAGTTTCTTTTGTATAGATAATGAGAGAAAATTAATTGCACTTATTCAAAATTTGCAAGGTCATTTTTAAATGTCAAATGTTTGGTGCACTAATTCAATTTATAGAGATGGCCAAAACTGTTGAAAAACTAGCAATTCAAGAGTCATTGAATGAAACTCCTCAAAATTATATGGTTGGTCAAAAGTTCACATCTTATCAAGATGCTAAAAAAATGTTGTTAACATGCTTAAAAATAATTTTTTTTTAAAAAAAAAGAGAGAACAAAACTCTCATAAAAGATAGGGTGTTATAGTACTTATTTATTATAAAGATATTTGGAAGCTAATAAGATCCTTGATGGATCCACCCATAAAAATACAAAATTGGAGTTGTTGTCCCTTTCAATAGCTTCTGTCATTGCAAGCATTTGATTTTTTACAAAAATATACAGATAATGAAATTATAAACCAATTTAGAGATATGGATGTCTCTAATCCAATATATGCTATGATTAGACTAACGAAGCCCACTCTTGACACAGACTTAGCTTTATAATTTACTCGTTCATTTAACAAAAACTAATATAGGATCTTGTCTTTTTTATGATTTTTTTTTATAAATTATCTAGTGTCCATAGGATCAGTGTCGTAGCTAAAAATTTCAAGAAAATGTTCAAACAATAGATAGCAAAAAAAAAATAGGTTTAAACAATTTTTAAAAATTATCATTGCGTTGTCGGAATCTATTGATTGTAAGGGTGTACAAAATAACACATAAATAGCAATATAAAATAAGATTTAATCTGTATATATAATGTAATTTTTTAATGAAAATCGTCTAACTGAACGCCCTACACTACCGTAGCTCTGCCCCTGACAACTAGTCATTTTCTTATATTTTATACGGAATAAATAATCTCGTTATTCTAATATAAATAATAAATTAAATAATCTCGATTTTAATACTCGACAAAATGTGAATTTAGAAATTGTTATCCCAAGTACCAAACAAAACTTAATTCACACATTACGGGGTCCCTTTTTCATCACATATACCCAATTGTCGGCCAATTGTACGTAACACAACAAACATACATGCATACATATCGTGAAAGTAATAATTACATAGAGTAATTAAAGTAGTTAATTAAGAATACATATTGCTCCTGTTCTTATTATACATAATTATTTTAGATTTCACGTCTCTTAGAAATTATGTATAGTTTAATACTATATTTTGATTAAGTAATTGACCAATTAACATAAATTAATCATTTAACTTTTTTTTTAAGTCAAGTTCATACTTTCAAGGTTAATAACTCTCAAAAGTAAAATAAGAAAAATAATGTCATTTATGCATTTATTTTATGAAACGACAAATATTAAAAATCATAATTTTTAGTAACGATAATATATAAATTGAAATAGAGGGAGTAACGTAAGGGCATCAATGTAAGTATAGCCAACCCAGGATATTAGACACCTTACATCAAAAAATTATGTTGTATATATATATCAAATTCTATAGTTAAAGAATATATATTTAAAATTGAACATCCTTAACAAAAATTATGTCTTCGGGTGAAGTGATAATAAATGTATTTGAATGAAAGGAATTTTGGATTCGAATCCTCAAATAGCACAATATATTTTTTATTGTATTTCGACAACGACAAGTTAGTCATGGGTAGATTGAGTCAAACAAATTTGAATCAGAATTTGCCAGCACTACATTGTGTATGTTGACAAGACAAAAGAAAGAGAGAGTGGGGGCAGCTAACATATTTTGGATTGAATAGTAGAATGTAACACAACAATATCATGCAAGATGGTTGTTACACATCCACAATAGTCCAATTCCATGAATATAGATTCTTGACTCTTGAGCCTTGTTCTTACCTTATATTCCTTTTTGATGATTAATATCAATTAATTCCCATTTTGATGATTATAATTATGTTATTAAATAGTTAAATCCTAAATACTCATTGTGCATAAGATTTTTCAAAAAAAAATACAGACAATGTAATAGATAAAAATTACCAGAGATCAAAATTGATTTTTTCCTAGTTCAAAATACAAAGAAAATCAAACGTTGATATATGATTAGGACGAAATCATTTACAAGGCAATGGCTTGATGCTTTTATACTTGCTAAAGAAGTTCTCATTTATCAGTGTGTCCTCATTCATATATATATTTTTGAGTAAATTCACATGACTCACGACCCTATCAGATAATGTTAAAGAATGACAAAAGTTTCACATTGATGGTTATTGAAATGGGTGGACTCCTGAATAATCCTTCTTTCTTTGACCTAACTTTTGGAGCGTGAGTTAGGCCTAAAACCTAATTTCAGAGATAAAGTCCCCACCTCCACATGAAGTTTCCCACATCAAATCATCATGCGATGTAACTTCCTTTCAAAGTTGAACCACCATTTCCTATAATTCCCCCCTACCTAATTCCCTAAAATAGCACCAATACAACAAGTAAATGGACTCCCAAAATCAATCAGCGCAAGATGATAAACAGGAAAACAATGGGCTCATTTTAGATTTAGATCTAAGCCTCCTCTGTAACTGGGAATTGAAGCCTACAGATGATCAAATAATCAAAACCACTAATCACACTTGTGATGGTGAAACAGAGCACCAGGTTTTTTCCTGTAACTATTGCTACAGAAATTTTTACAGTTCACAAGCACTTGGCGGCCATCAAAACGCACATAAAAGGGAACGAACTACAATGGCGAAAAGGAAGCACAGTATGGATTCAATTCCTATTATGCATAGGCCTCCTCCTGCCATTCAAGCACACTCCATGACTCATAAGCCAAACATTTCATCGAACACCTTCAGGGCACCCGCAATTCCAACCTCATTATACAATACACATTCAGCTCCTATGTGGTCGAAAAGGCGGCGGGATCAGTTTCCGGTGATCGGTCGCCCTGAAAGGAACAAGTTTTCTACAGTGGTTGGTTCTCAAGAGGATTTGAAGAAACTGGATTTGTCTCTCAAACTCTGAGACTTTTGAATTAAATATTTTAGATTTTTCGAAATATGTATGATCTATTTTATTGGAGCTTAAATATATTTCTTTCCTTTGAAGTTGCTATTGAAGTGGTTAATATGTTAATGCAAACATGTAGTAATATTGTACATTGATACATACAATAACATAAATAAGCATTCATATGCGAAAGACTTGATCGATGTTCAAATATTGCATTAAAATTATAGAGTTAACAAGTAAGAAATGTTCAAAAAGAAAAAAAAATACTTTTTTTTTTATAGAAATTAACCCGCAGTCAAAATCTCATCGTTTCATTGATAAGATTGAGACGAATGCACATGTACACTGAATGTACGTACTGATGAATTATTAAATATAATTTTCTAGTAGGATAGGATACATAATTTCATATGCAATTATGCATATGGTGGGCAGAGAATGTTTCCATGAAGTATTTCAAATTGTACTACTATTTACATTTCAAATTATACGCCTTACGGTAGGTGAAAAATAGACCCATCTATCAACAAGTCATCATCAATATGTTTGTAATGACCCTACTTTAAAATTTAAAAAAAAAAAGGTTTCGAAAAACCCAAACAATGATCCTTAATTTGAGCATATCATAATCTTGTAAACTTAATTAATTACATGATTTTTAAACAAATTGGTGGGACCAATTATAATTATTCATAAACGTAAATTATGGCATGTTTCACAGTACTAATCTTAGCTCAAAAGGAACAAACAAAAATACCAAATTTCCGGTAACTTCGTACAATGATCAGCTAGCAGACGATTATGTTTGCGTAATGAGTGTGAAGATCGAATCTTGCTCAATTTGGAACTTCTTTGACATATCACAATATTTATGTGGATGTGTCCACCGGGGTGTGATGGAGTGGTTGAGAAGTGGGTCTCCTTCAGGCCCAAGAGATTGAAATTATTCTCAATTTACTACTCAATCATGAACTCATTTCATGAGGCTAGTCTAATACAATCAACAATTTCTGTGTAATTTGCGAGTTATTACATAGTGAACATATAATCACAAAGTGCTAAGCTCGAAAGAAGAGAATGTGACATAAATTTTGAATATAAAACATTTGAAATATATGACCTTAAATATGTCATAATATCACAACAACATGAAAGGGGAGCACATAATTAAGATGGGATATATGAAAATCTAGAATTATCCATCAAGGTGAAAGCCCAACGACATGCATGCACGGTGTAGGGTTGGTGGGTTACTGAAAATACAAAGAACTATGGAAATAGGTTCCTCCATAATTGTGTATTAACAACTACTTGTACCTAAGTTTTTTTTTTCCCATTTCCACAGTAAATAAACAAAGTGACATTTTTAGTTTGGTTACACTTGGGATGTGACATTATTTAAGAAATTATTCATTTCTAATAAATAAATGTCTTTGAAAAAAGATATAGTAACTCTTTTGCAAACCTACCTTTATTAAAAGAAGGATAACAAATTGACATAATATCATTATATCTTCTTCAATTTGTAATCTAAAACATTACTTATTTAGGAACAAAGTAAAAAAATGAAAAAAAATAATTAGAACATCACTTTAAAATGGCAGGACGGGGAATATTGCAATTTGGTTCAAGTTTGAGCTAAGTGTACATTAACGTATATTAGGGTGGAAAAATCAAATTTAATTTCGTTAAAATTTGGACCGGTTATTGACGTGTCAATTCATTAGCTCAACCTATTTCAATTCAATCTATTTCAATTCAATCCATTAAAATTTGAGTTGATATGTAATCCTAACCAGCTCATGAGATCTTGTCGAAATATTTTTGATAGACTTCTTTTCATCATATAGCAATAACAAAAGAAAAAATAATAATTTTATTAGGATCTAAAATAGTTTAAAATAACAAATAAAATCATTAAGCTTGTAAAAATTGAGTTGAGTTGAATCTTGCTCGGTAATGTAACCCATTTTGACCCAAGCAAATTTGAGTTGAGTTGAGTCTTAATCCGATTATTGTCTTAACCCATTATGATCCGTCCAAATTTAATCCCCCAATTGTCACCCATAACGTACATATATACTACCCAACGATAACAAATAATGATCAAAAGTAGATTTAAGACTCAAAGCCAGTAATTAGTATCACAGGCGAAAATGGTATTGTGGGGTGCACATACACTCGTTAACTTTTAAATTTTTTTTTAATTATATATGTATATCTATCTTGCAAAATTGACAGAAACTAAATATATTTAACAGTACCCTACAAAAGTATGAAATGTTGATTTGTACCAGTGGTATAAGCTAACAAAACAACCCAAATGATGATGGTTCAATCGGTGCACTAAGATTTTACAAATCTTAGGTTCGCCTCTGAAGTTAGTATTCTCGGCGGAGTTAAAAATTGTATCATGGGGATTTAGTGTGTACATTTTTTAATCCTTGTACATATCATATTTATGTAGTTTGTCAGAAATGAACCCTTGGCGATATCCTAGCTCAGTACATTTCTTAAAACTTACGTACAATCAGATTCAGTGCTACCAATTTTGTTTTTGTTCTTCGTATTGACGTAAAAATGGAGAAAGTTAATTTTACTCATTGCATTAAGGCAACTTGGCGTATTGAATTTCAGAAATAAGTTGACATGAGGAAAGATAATAAATAACGAAATCAAATTAAATACTCACACGTTTAAGAATTCCTTTTTAAAGATTTTTGCATGCAACTTTAATTATAGTTCGTAATCACACGTTAAAACTAGATTCAATCGTCTTGACTTCGACAAACAATTCATCATACGATGATTATTCATATTAATTAATCATTCACAGAGACTTTTACTTTTATAGTATGATATTTTACTCAAGATTTCATTATACAATATTATCCAATACATAATTCGACATATATATGTTCAACACAACGTACGTAACGAAATATCAGTATACACATACAAATTATATGAATAATTAGAATTTTGAAGAAAATAATCAATTGTATTTTGGGTTTACAATTCAAACCCAATTTTGTCTTCTGTGTTATTCTAAGGGATCTTTAATATCTAGACCTATTTATTCAAAATACATGCCCCAAAATTAAGCATACTTTACAAAATATCTTCTCTCTCTTTACGTTTTTGTTTGACTTGATTTAATTCATCCGGTGTTGGTTTCCCAAGACAAATGAGAACCAAATGTGGTTGCATTAATTATAATTTAATTAACAATATAGTATAAATTAAATATATTCTGCTTGAGATATATACTAAGAAAGGTAAAGAAGATTAATCTTAGGTTCTAAATAAAAAAGCACTCGACTTTCTTTGAAAATCTAGCTCATTTTTTTAATATATATATTTTTTTGTTCCTTCTGATATTTGTATCGAAGCTCAACTAAATTCAAATTGACATCTAGAATTTTCATGTTGAAGTTAAAATACTCACTACCAAATGCAACTCTGTATTCAAGAGGACTCGAATACAAAATCTCTGATTAAGAATTTCGTCTAAAATTTATAAAAATCAAAATTTTAATTTATCATAAATTCACATTAAGCAAGTCAAAAGTAGGTACGATAATTATTCTTCAAAGACGGGAATTATATAAAGGTACTTATCCCAAAAAAAAAAACAATCCATGTTTTTTGACAAAGATGTTTAAACACACAAAAAAATAAAATTAGAGATTACTAAAAGGATTATTCACTGCCATATCTAATGGATTTTGAGATTAAAATCAAATAGTACAATCATCATTCTACACCATTTCATATTTTTTCTGGAAAGTCATTTTATTTGTAAATTGGCTAATACTGAAATAACCACCTAATGTTTTTAAAATAAGGTAGGCTAGGTGCTAGATAGGGCAGTTAGAGACATAATTGGCTTCTCAAAATCATTAATAAAGTTGATTAAGAATGATGAGTATTATTTTTTTTATATCTGTTAATTATTTATGTATGATAAAGGAAAAAAGGGAGAAAAAGAGTACAAGGAGACAGGGACAAATATGTTGCATTCTCCATCTTAAATTTCTTGATAGAAAACGACAGAGTGTAAACTAATCAACAATGATAGAAAACTTCATGTGTTTTCTTTGTCACATTGACATAAGGCATAACTATATTATAAAGGTAAATCAAATAGGACTTATACAACATTTTTACTACTAGTATTTGAGATGCAATGAGTACTACTAAGTTTGTTGTAAGATTACAAAAGAAACAATTATAGTAGAATTGTGGAACTTACAAGGGTGTTACATGGTTTGTTTTATTAAGACTCCCTTTTTCCTTCTTTTACTTTTTAATCTTTTACATGTTATTTTTAATAAATCAATATAAAATAATATTTTTTCATATATTATATTGTCAATTATTATTATTATCTTAATAAGTATGTAAAATAAAAAATGATTTACCACTTGTTAATGAAGTTTGAAATATAAAAAAACTCCAACCGTCCAAAAGTAGATGGACACATTTTACTAAATTTATCACATATTACCTGATCATTTAGAATATAATTAATTAGATTTTCCCATTTTACTTCTATAGTTAATATAACCTTTGAAAGTTTAAATAAAATTGAAAGATTCAGAATTTCTTTTTCTCGAAAGGCTAACAACACTTGTACAATTTAAGAATATAAACTATTTTTTCCGAAAATTCTTTTTCAATTGTTTAATATAAAACAACATATACTAATTTCTAAAACTACATACTTATCGATTTTGAACTATTTCATTGACTACTAAACCCCACTCACCCATAATACTATTATTTTTAGGGGGGAAAAAATCAAAATTGGGTAGATGCCGACCAATAATTTTCTTCATAAAAATTTGGATAGTGTGCAGAGTCTTCAGTAAAGAAAGACAGAAAACAGTTTAAAATAGAAGAGAAATCACAGATCATCATTCCATAATACACTCTCAGCCACCATTAAAATACACTCTTCAGCTGAGCACTTTTACCAAAGATTCCAATTTTCTAACCAATCTCTTCTCCTCCTTTTATACCTACCGGTACGGCCACTGGGTCGCCGCCGGTGGTACCCTAAGTCCCCACTCCACCGCCAACTCCAAAATAAAAAGGACCCACATTCCCTCTTTCACTTACCTACCAAGTACTGCCCACATATATCTGTAATTCAATTCAATTCAATCGAAAAATACCGAATCCTCTTTCTTTACATCTTCACTATGAGAGGAACCTGAAAGTTCCTCTGTTTTTATTCAAGATGCTCTGCTGCAAAAATTCAGTTAAAAATGGGCGTGGATCTGTTCCTGTGTACTTAAACGTATACGATCTAACTCCGATGAATGGTTATGCTTATTGGATTGGTCTCGGAGTTTACCATTCCGGCGTTCAAGGTCAGTTACTCAATCTTTTGATGACAATTGATTATCAGATCTGGGCTTTTTCTTAATTAACTGTAGCAAAGTTTATACTAATTATTTGTTGATGGTGGTGGGTTTTGGTAGCTAGTTCATGGAGTTGAATATGCATTTGGAGCTCATGAGTATCCAAGTACTGGAATTTTCGAAGGGGAGCCGAAAAAGTGTGAGGGATTTATTTTCAGGAAGACAATTTTGATCGGATGGACGGAGAAGACACCTAGAGAAGTAAGAAGAGTTATGGAAGAACTTGCTGATAAGTATAAAGGAAATGCTTACAATCTTATTACTAAGAATTGTAACCATTTCTGTAGTGATGCTTGTGTTAAACTCACTAACAATCCAATTCCCAGATGGGTTAATCGACTAGCAAGAATTGGTAAGATTTCATGTCAGACTTATTATTTCACATGTTTGAATATTCGCAAAACATATTTTAAAATGTTTGGTCAAAATTCAAACACTTTGAATAGTTAAGTGTTATGTAAATTGGGATGGAGAGAGTACCTTGTTTTCTAGGCATGTTGAAATCAGGATTCATAGAACTCTCAGTGTTTGTCCTTGACAATGATTTTTATGCAGAAGATTCCTACCGAGTTCAGTGGCTGCATTAAGGTTTTTCGCAGCCTTTAACACTGATAGGAATCTTCAACATGAGTTTGCTGTCATTGAGGGGGTGTTCTGCAACTTGTTGATATGAGAAATTTAGTAACTTACTAATTATTGGTGTGTGTAGGTTTCGTTTGCCATTGTATCGTTCCAATGAGCTTAAAGTCTACCAAAGTTCGCCACCATCGGATGGAGGACAAGGCAAGTGAAGGGACCAGCAAGAAACCTCAGAGCAGCTTGAATAACCAGACTCCATCTTCGAATCCATCAGGTGAAGGGGACAAGAAGAAACCTCAGAGCAGCTCGAATAAGCCCACTACATCTTCAAATCCATCAAACAACAAGAAACCTCAGAGTAGCTCGGATAAGCCGGCTCCTTCTTCAAATCCATCTTCAGCTTCTTCACAACCCCCTCCAATTGCCAAATCTACAACTAGTAACAAAACCAAAAGTCTGCTACCTCCATCTACGCCGTTGACGTCAGATTCGAATGCATCCTAGAATTTCCTGATGCAGAAAGGCCAATGCTTTATTTGATTCAACTTTATTCTTTTGCTCGTTTCTTCATAATGCTAACAAATATTGTATATGCAAATGCTTTCAGTGAAATGGAAATCTAAATATGCAGCAACAAGCAAATGAAAGTAAATATTTTATTTATTAATAATAGGCTTATTACAATCATAGTAAGAAATAGTTGAACCGTAATACTGAACCTCAACTAAGCTGAAAGGATACAGAGAAATATACTGCAAATCACAATTATATAAAATTAAGACATCATTGCTTGATTAACTACTCAACAACTATGTCGCTCAAAGGGGTTGTAGTGGCTGGGTTATCCTGGAGTTCCAAAAAAGAAATTATGTTGCTCAGATTTTTCAAAAAAGTCAATTGGGTGCATATCGTATTTCCCAAAAATACACTATTTTTGGAGAATCCGACATGGGTGCACCTCGAAAATGAAGAGTTCGCAACACTTAGCTCAACAATTCTCTTGATTATGAAACATTACTATTTTCAAAAAAAAAAAAAACAATTCTCTTGATTATGGGTTATGTTGGGGGAGAATACAGAGTTGTTCCAACCAAGGCGACACTTAAAAGGAAGGGCAGCTTTCACAATGTGGTCACACACTCAAACTGATGAAGAAGTCACTGTTTATCCTTCTGAAAAGGGGTGAAGAGAAAAACAAAGCTTTATAGTATGATATTGAAAGCCTGTCAAGGTTATGTGCTTTTCCTTTTGCAGTGTGTTTTTTTTGTGCGGGGGGAGGAGGGAAATGAGCTATTATTTGCCTTTCAACAGCTTTGGACAAATCAGATTACTTTTTCCTTTTGATATATACAAACACGTCATATTTGTCCCCAATCTTTATTCTAGTGAACCAATTCGTAGTCCCAAAGGCCAATACTATACCTGAGAGGTGACTATAATTTGACCAAAAGATATCATCAATCAATGTAGTCAAATGTTCCAACCACACTATTCGTGCTGTTGATATTTCCTTTCATACCATTTATCCTATATGTTCAATTTTTTCCAAAAACAATGAATGGAATCCAAGATGAATGACTACCCTTCTCCTTCACATCACAAGTTTTGTATAATTAACAAGGATAGGATATATAACAGGGAAAAAGAACAACAAAAGCAACTGAATAGCACTCAATTTTATTTTTTTGGGTAAAAAAGGGGAGGATGTCCTAGATAAGACGATAAGTTATTCAGCAATGACTAGAATTACTCAAAAAGATCATTACACATATTAGGGTAGAATGTGCATAGCTTGATGAATAGGGAGCTATGGCACTACCACAGAAAGTTAAGATGTAAAAAAGAAAGCATACGGAAAATAACGTACACTGACCTCTTCGGGATGGATGCATTAAATGTGGAATTATAGCAGCTTAGCTGACTTAAACATGGTATCACACCCCTACATCAGGTAGCTAAGCCTCCCTCATTTGCTGAACTTCCACTTCCATCAATCATAGAAAATTGCATCACTTCAGTTATCTCGGAATAAACCACACTGAAGGGAATCAGAGACGAACCCAGAATTTGAAGACGACAGGTGCACCACCAATGATAATGCAAGTTAGTTAAAGTATGTACCCAATATTGGTTTATATGAAATAAAAAACTACGATATTCATGTATAAATAAATTAGATGACTCTAATAGATAATGTTTTATATGAAGTGGTAGTTTTAAGTTTCACTTTGCACCATGAGGTTGCAAGTTCAAAACTAGCCATCCTACTATTTTATTTGATATTTGTAAACTTCATAGAAACATAACAAGAAATAAGCAGATGGGATCTGAACCCAATCCCTCCTCAATGAAGTTCAACATACAAACCATTTAACCCCACTAGCTTTTGTGTCTTCAAGTGCCTAATAAAATATATGTATATTTCAAGGTCTGTATATACACGTATTATACATAATTTTTCGAAGTTAATGGGTGCACGTGCACCCGTAGGGATACACGTGGGTCCGCCTCTGAAGGGAATCAAACATCCATGAGTTACAACTTACGGCTTTGGAGCTCCTGTTACACTAAAAGAACTTGCTGGCATGCACATGAACCATCTTGTTAAAACCTCAAATTCACGGGATGCTTTACCACAATATAAACCAATACAGAAAGTTCTATAAGCTGATACAAGAGAAGGTTTTATATGACACTACATGTTTGCACCACGATATAAGTGAGACAGAATGTTCAAATTTAAATCACTTACGACATGCATAAAGAACAGTTCATTACAAAGTATTCATACATCTTAGTAATATTTAGAATAAATAACTTTTCACCCCTCTTGTTGAACTCACTTATCTTCCAATAGGAACACAATTCGTCATTTCTCTGCTAAGTAAGGTTCTTATTTATCCTAAACATTGTCTTTATTTAACATTCGTGTTTGCTTTACATGTTTTAAGGATTGTGATTATAGCAAAAATCTTTAAGGGTTGAGCAGACAAACAAAAGGGAACTATTTATGGTGTCCATGCAAAGGGTACAGAAGTTCAAAATAACTCTGTCAAGAATCAAGATAAGCTTGGGCATAGTAATTCAAGGGGTCCAGTGTTAGAAACATGACAGGAATGTAATACAGCTTTAGAGGTTTGGGAAACCGCATCAGGGGTGTAGGGTGTGGACAAGCAGCAAACCTGCTAGTCTCTTGTTTTAGTAATGCTAATTTCCTTGCATCAACAGACAACCATAACTACCAAATTTTAGTTTAAGCGGGATGAAGTCTGCATATGAATTGCTGCAATTTTCAGGAGTCTCCAACCAGTAAAAATATGCTTTAACAATGAATTACTTCAAAAAGGTATCATTTCACTTCTGCACTATGCAGGAGTATGAAGATGTTTAACCCCCTACTAACATGGAAACTATCGATCAGCATTATTGAGCAACCATACAGGTCAGACCCAGCTAAACAGAGTTTGTTCGAATAATGGTGGAAGACTTTATCAGTATGCTGCCTTTTGATGGCACATCTAAGACTTGATAAAATTAACGTGCAGCTTACTATCATTTCCATTCAGGTATTGTATCTTTCAATAATATGGGCCAACCATATCTCAAGTCAGAATAGTTAAAGAGCATTCTATTTCAGGATGTAAATCTAACATTCTCAAATTAAATAGTGGGGGTTTAGGGGACTGATCAATATAAAGAAAAGTTCAGAATTCAACATGGTAAAATTTTCAGACAATTAGGAGGGAAAGAGAAAAAAATCTGTAGTTAGAGTATTTGAAGAGAAACTTCATACCACTTGAAAGCTGTCTTCCTCCAACGAACTTCTCCATAAAACAATATACATATTCAAGCTTCCAGGTCTCAATCTTCAATTTCTGATTCGGATCCACCACAGATGTTGCAAGCCTCCGTATTTGGGAGTTTCCTGCTATATTGGCAATATCCTCAACTGACACCAGAATGTATAAGAATACCATTGGGCAGCCAGCCAAATCTACCCTGAACAATGCTGTATTTAACATGTGTGTGGCTTCCACTTATAGGTGTTTGCTGCTTGAGATCCAGCTCTAAGCGTTCAGCTTTTTTTCTCTCTAAGCACAATACTTATTCAGTTGTGTCATCAAAATGGGACGCATGTGTGCTTAACTCCAAACGACCATGTCTGTATTCAATCAAAACAAGATGATTCGTTCTATTCGCTTGGCTATATTCGACTAAAACCCAGAATGGACAGTCGGCACCGTGCAACTTATCTCTCTGTTCAAAGCTTTAACTACTTCACCTATATACATTGAAGAACACTCACAACATTGTTTATAGGCTCAATTTTCCAATATTAAAGTTATTTCAGCTGGTTTGTTAGGCCCCAGACAAATTGGAGGCTTATCAGTTTCATCTTCACTAACAGCCACCTAATGTAGACATTAAACTTAATGAATTGATCTAAACCCAATCCCCTATCAGTTTCCTCTAGACAAATCCATAACCAAACCTCCAACAGAAAAATGTACAACTCTGCTGCAATATCCTGGAGTCATAAGCTCTCGAATATCCAACTAACTCAACCAAGGATCAGTAAAATAAGTAGAAGATTAAAGGGTAAGCAAAAAAGCTTAATTATCTAATACTATCTTAACAATACTTACCTGTTAAGAAAACTCTTTTTGTAGATTGAGAAATAATTAGGTCAGGAGTGTGGTTGTCTATTATAATTAGATTAAGCTCGTAAAAACAGAAGCTCTTAATATAGCTAAAACCAAATTCAATGGAGTCCGGTAGCCAGTTGAATATGAGAAATGACGCTTCATATCATTTTAAATAGACTTCGAACTGTAAAGCAAGCACAAATATACTAGTTTGTGTTGATCAAGCCCTTAATCTTCGAATGCAAAATTTATATGATGCTTAAGCAATTTTATTATATGCATAATAATCACACTGTGAGAAGCGAATCGAAACAAGGTAAAACGTTTACTTGATCGAATTCATATAGGCTGAACGAAAAGCAGAAACAAAATCAAAAACTTAATTTACCTTGATCCCAGAGATCGAAGCACGCAATTACGTAAATTGGGATTGTGGAATTGAGGAATTTTCATCTTTGGCAGCCGCAGGGACTGAGGAGAGAACGGAGATGGAGTATTTCAACACTTATTTTATCGTCTTCTCATCCTTCCGGCTCCCGCCGACCGGCATCACATGGAAAGCACGTGATGCACTATAATTTTATTTTAATTTTCTTTAAGAAAAAAAACAAAGGAGAAAAAGCCTGCATACGTGTCATTTCCTTTTTTTAAGAAATCGTGGAAATAGAAACTATGTTACCTAATGGTTTATGGTATATTTTATTCTTTTCAAATTTTAAGTGTAAATTTATTGGTATATTATTATTGTTATTTATTATAAATAGCATATTTAGGTTTATTTTGGTCATAAATAAATTGTGCATTGGAATTATATTTGAACAATAAAATGTTAGAATAACTATTTTTCAAAATTTTAAATACATGTTTTTACTTTCTTTTTTATTTTTTAACTCCAAAAGTTTTCAACTTTTTCTCGACTTGTATTCATGTCCAACTTACACGACTCCAGTTCTAAAACATCATTTTTCAACTTTTTTCCAACTACTATTCTCCCTAAACTTAACATTTATTATGTCCAAATGCCCACTTTTAATATAGTGTAATTAATCATAGAATTAAATATTAAAAAGAGTAAGCTAAAGTTTTTAAGGATCGCTTGGTAGAAGTATATTAGGCAAAAATAATACATATATTATTTTTTATATTATATAATAATATATTATTTGTGTGATTAGAGCCTTTAGATGTGTTTAATTTAGTTCCACAAGTACTCCTATAACGTATATATCCAAACATGAGTATTGTTCCAAGGATATATTCATTGATGAATTCATATGATTTGTGCAAGTTGATTCATTGTCATGCATATTTTTCTCATTATACTTTAATTTTCATTAGCTTTTCCATTTGGTAACTAATTAAGTAGATTATAAACCAAGAACAGCATGTATAAGTACATAAAAATCATGTAGAATTTCAGTTAGCCCAAATAATTAATGAAACAAATTAATATAAGTAATTTATTTATTGATGTGATATAATTTGTAGAAAATTAGAGAGGAGATATTCTTACATATAAAAAAAGCTATCCATGTGCTAGTCTTGGGGTTGATTGCATGAAAAGACGACTTAAATTATTTTTTTATATAAAAATTAATTTTGAATTATCGATTTTTTTCACAATTTAACTAATTTCACATCAAACACATCCTACTCAAATTTATTGAACATGTGTTAAATAACGAATGATCCATTTATACTATAAGAAGATGAACGATGAAAAATGTATATTATACGTACATAAGAATTAAGAGTATACTGTTTGCATATACAAAAAGAGGTAGATGTAATATGAAAGTTATGAGTGGACGTGAACTAGTTATAGTCTCTTGCAATATATATGCACATTAAATATGAACAAATATGCGATTATGAAATTCAATATTTATTCTAGATCATTGGTCTTAAAATAATTCATTTGCCTTTGTTTTCTGCTGATATAAATTAATTAACGAGATTTCAACTCATAATAAATATCATAATAGAAATGTATTAACTAATTATACAAGAATAAGTGAATGGCTATTGATTTCCAAATATTGACCCTAATTACGAATTTCCTAGAGAAAAAAAAATTAGTAAGCAATATGTATTATGTGTTTGACTAATAAATTTACTAAAAATTATTAGGAGATAATAATAATTATAATCGAGAAATAGCTATCATTATCGTTGCTTGTGATAATTAAATAATCAAACTTTACACAGATTATATATTATAAAGAGGCAAAGTCGTTCCTTTAGTTATAAGAGAGCAATTGTGCAAGTCCAAATTATTTGATTTGACCATAGCATGTGTCTATACTCCTTTGTAATAGGTTAGTATTAGATTAATAACGTAGGTTATAGAATATTATTATTAATGCAATCTCAGACATATGACTGAGTCATAATTTTTCTAGAGTCTAGGAGTATCACATTTTAGTCAAGGAAAATATAAGTTCATCATGTATCATTATTTATTTTCAATCAATCAAAATAATATACGATTAAAATTGACTCATGAAAAATCTTGTTAAAATATTTTTTAAAATATTCTTTAGTTTGAATTGGTATATACAGCCAGTCAAGAGAGAGAACAAAGTAATTTTATTTTGCATTCAATAGTGTAGCCTATTAACCAACGAAATGATTGAAATTTTTAAGGTGAGTTCTCATGTTCAAAACTCAATATTAAAAAAAAAAGTTGATTCTTGTTATATGTCTGAACTCCTATCCTTGATTCCTATTGGTGGATAGAGTTACCTAAAATCTATTAGAGATAGAAAAAATTAACCTAAACATCACGATCATAAAAAAATTATAAAATAATTAAAACTTCATAAAAATTGAACAAGTTAAGTTATAGTAATAACGTACTCACTCCGTTTAAAAAAATGACTTAATTTGACTTGTAACAAAGTTTAAGGAAAATTTAAAAAAATTAAATCATGTAATCTTAAATTTCAATTGTGTTAAATGTACACCATTATTTTTTAATCTCATAATGTTAAACATGTCTGATGAAAAAGATGAAAGTAAAATATTACCAAAAAAATAATATTTTTTAAAAACAAACTAACAAAAATAAAAAAAAAAAAAAATTTAAATAAAGAGAATATATAAAAGCTATTTGAGTTCAAATAAATTTTGAGTAAGATCAATAATATGCTTATTTTGACACAAGTGTGGCTTTGTTTTAAGGATTCGCATTGTCGCTAGAAAAGAAAATATCAATTTGTTTACACACATCCCAAGGCTGAAGGCCCTAGCTAGTTTTGTCAAAGGACAAAGAGAATAATAATAGTTAATATTCACTTAAAAAATAATTAATTTTGCATTCTAGATACTCTACATTATTAATTAGCAAACCTTTTCTTTATTAATTAATGTAACATTTATTTATTTAAACGAGGAGGATCACAATTCACATTCTAAAGGGAAACTTTAGTTGGAGTAAATATGAAGAAAGGAACAAGCAAGCATGATTGGTATTTTTTTTTTTGATCTTATCTTTTCTGATTTTATGAAGCACGCGCAATCTTTGCCTTTTTCTCTATACCTATATACAATAATTCCATCTTATTAGGCTTTTTTTCACTGGTATTCCACCAACAACTTGAATATGTAAAAAAAAAATAATAATTATGAAGTAGTTAAATTTTGAATGTTGATATATAGTTTTATTCTTTAATATAATCAAAGCTATATAATCGTTAAATAAATATATTTTTTATCGATAAATTTTACGGTTAAATTTAACTTTTACGATTTTGTAATGTATCCAGTGAATTTCCATTTATAAAAATGTATAACCATTTTTTTTATAAAAAAAAATAGTGAAGAGCTTAAATGTCGTGGAATTTATGAGAAAAGTACATGCATCATGATATTGGTGTTGTTTTTATTTTAAGGTTATGGTTTTAATTTGTTTATTTGTTATTAGCAAAAGCAATAATATATTTCGAAGAAGCAAAAGAAATCAGGAAAACTAAATATATAAGAAAAGAAAAAAAATTAATGAGATAAAATAAAGGAAAATTCCCTTCTTTTTATTTTTTTGCCTAATTTTTAGTTTTAACACCATATAAATTATGAAACTAATCTCAATCGATCACTTGACATTTTAAAGAAGTTCTAAATAGGAAATAACATAGCTCAAGAGATAATAGCAATTTAACTACACCTTATATTTTAAATATAAAAATTGCAAAAAAAATGTTTTTTTTTAAAAATATAGATGTCTTAATAGTAACTGTCTGATTTATATGATTCACTTATTTTTTAATTAATACTAAATATAATGACATATTTTTATATTTTATTCTTACTGAAATGATTGATAATTATGTAAAAATTGATTACTCAATTAATATTATAAATTTTATATCACGTCAAACTACTCGAGAGAGGAATAACATCATTATCACATAACGATTTGGAAAATATTTTTGAGATGAAAGGTTTTGGACAGACATTTGAGGCAAATAGACAGAAACCATGAGGAAAGTTAGCACTAGTTGGGGAACTACATCATGAAAATTTGTGCATGAGTTACATCATTTTGCCTATGTAAAACTTCACAATCATCATTAAACTACTTTTCCCCACACCCTTTCCAATTTTTTACTGCCCATTTATGGCATCTCTTTTTTACTGTCACCATAAGTTCATCTACTCTACAATATTTTTTACTCTATGTATAACATGACTAGTAGTTTACAAAAATCGAAATAGTAGTTGATTGATCGTGAGATTATCATTTAAAAGAAAAAATATTTTAATTTATGACTAGTAGTTTATAAAAATAGAAATAATAATTGATTGATCGTGAGATCATCATTTTTTTAAAAAAATTATTTCAATTTATGACTAGTAATTTATAAAAACAGAAATAATAGTTGATTGATCTGAGATCATCATTTAAAAAATATTTTTTTATTTCAAATTTATTTGATTAAATATGAAATAATAAAATGATATTTAAAAATTAGATTGTTATTAAATATAAAATTATATTTTTTATTTAGAAATTGATTAAAACATAAAAGGGGTATCACAATTAGCGAAGTGAAAGAAAAATCAACCATATAAGTAGAATTAAACCAGCTTATCTTGAACTATTGTTACTGTTCATGAGCTAAATAAGTCTAATACTATAATTTTAGCACCATCATTTTGTGATAACTTATTCTGCGTCTTCACGAGCCATAGATGACTTATTATATTTAGATGTATATCTCACCTTATTTGATCAAATTTGATGTTCTGAAGTTGAAATAAATTAGTGGAGAACTTATAATTTTGGAATAGTTTAGTTTGCAAATTATACATCTTAGTATATAATTTTAGTCCCACATAAACATATAATTTATAAAAGCATGAGTATTTCTTCCGGCTAATTTACTTGTTATGTTTTTTATTTAAACGACGCTCAAGAAATTTTTTATTTTGTCTACGATACCCTTATTTATCATATTTAATTAGTTAACATCTTAATTTCTCATCAAAAAGTATTTTCACTTTAATCTCTTCAATGAATAAAAAGAAGGGAAAATACCCAAGTACCCCCTCGACCTATGCCCGAAATCTTAGAGACACACTTATACTATACTAAGGTTCTATTACCCCCTGAACTTATTTTATATGTAATTTTCTACCTCTTTTTAGCCTACGTGGCGC